AAATTATATATAATTTCAAGTTTCATACAAACAGTGAGACCCCAACATCTTATTTCTCTACAGCTGTCGATGTATTCTTTTAAAAAGACCCCTCCCCCAGGCCAACAGTTACATGCATGTATTTGTTACATTTATTTATTTTTATTCAGCACCAGGCCTCACTGGGAAATGAGATCTATGATCTAAATGGGATTTGACTGGATAAATAAAGTTTACCACATTAAGAAAACTTGTTAAGTACACTAAACACTAAAATTTATTTATCAGGAACACTAAACATTTGTTTATATTAGGGCTTGCTTGTGTCAAAGTCTATAAATGTAACTATTTTTATTAATATTAGGATTTGTTGTCAAACACAGTAAATATTGTGTTTTCTCTGGTTGGATTTTAGTCCATCTCAGTTTTTGTTGGGCAAGACATGGGTAGTATATTCACAACAATTAACACTCAGGACTAAACAGTAAACAATCAGGACTAAACAGTAAACAATCAGGACTAAACAGTAAACAATCTGGACTAAACAGTAAACAATCAGGACTAAACAGTAAACAATCAGGACTAAACAGTGAACAATCAGGACTAAACAGTAAACAATCAGGACTAAACAGTAAACAATCAGGACTAAACAGTAAACAATCAGGACTAAACACTAAACAATCAGGACTAAACTGAACAATCAGGACTAAACAGTAATCAATCAGGACTAAACAGTGAACAATCAGGACTAAACAGTGAACAATCAGGACTAAACAGTAAACAATCAGGACTAAACAGTAAACAATCAGGACTAAACAGTAAACAATCAGGACTAAACAGTAAACNCTTTTTATTTAGCTATTAACAGCAAATAATTACAAGTTATATAAAAGTCTTTAAAACAAGTTTATGCACAACTGTTTTTAAAGTGTTTTATGTTCCAGTTAAAATTATGACTTTATTGTTGTCATTTTTTTATTTTTTCATTTTTGGAAGTTTTTATCCATCTTGAGTTTGGTAAATGTATTACCTACAGATAGGTCCATAAATATAGGGACATCGACACAATTATCTTTTTGGCTGTGAAGACCACCAGGATGGATTTGAAAGGAACAAGATGTGCTTTAACTGCAGATCTTCAGCATTAATTTGAAGGTTTTTACATCCAAAGCAGTTTGTATATGTGCATCCCACATTGAAAAGAAACAACAGAAAAACCAAAAACCACACAAAGGAGGTTTAGGAAAAACAACAAAAACATCATATTATATCAACACTGTGACATACTATGGTGTTTATGGAAAAAAAAAACTCTGCATAGAGCAGATTTATTAGCCAGAGGTGTAAGTGAGTTTAGGGTGCCCGAAGGATCCAGTCCCCTAAATAAGCCATAGTTCAGAATATTGATGGAAACTGTTCATTCTGTGTGGCCCTCAGTCTACTCCAGGAACCAGATCAGACGGGTGAGAGAGGAGGGGGGAAGGTGTGGGGCAGAGCCTTGTCTACGTGATCCAGCCAGGAAGAATTTAGTCAACAGCTCAAGGCCATGTAGGGAAGAGCCGAATCTGTAATCAGTTGTTTTGGGAACAGAAAGAGACAGGCAGACGATGACAAATTTCCATCTTCTTCAATTTCTGCTGGTGCATCTCAAGATGGTGAATCCAATCAGGCAAATTATGTGGGCAATCCCGCCCAGCCGTACTATCAGCTTCTTCAAGATCAATCCCATCTGGCCAGCAAAGTCCAGGGACCACAGCCAGCCTGCGACCCTCAATAGAACCGCTTGCAGACAGAGTCCAGCTCGCTCAACGAAAAATGTCCCGAGTGTTGATAGTATGGCCATCCATCAAATTGGTCAGTTAGCCAGGAAATAAAAAGCCACATACACTGTTTTGTAGAACACCATGAGACACCAAGCCAATCTGTAGAATCTAGTGATTGGAATCCAGATATACACTCACCGGCCACTTTATTAGGTACACCACGCTAG